AAAATAAATTCTATAGGGACTACAAATGAGAAAAGAAAGCAAACATTGTACCAAAATGAACAATTATGTAAAATATAAATAAACAATTTAATTAAAAAAATACTCCTGAACAATGAATAGGTCAAAGAAGATATGACATGAGAAAAAAAAAATTCATGAAACGAATGAAAATAGAAACACAACACATCAAAACACATGGAAGGCAGCCAAAACAAGGATGATTAGGGGGCTATTTACACTAATATATGTGTGCATTAAGATAAAAGAATGATATATGTAACCTAACTTTATACCTAAGGATCTAGAAAATGAATGACCTAAGGTGCAAATTCAGCAGTAATTTAAAGAGTAGGTGTCTAGAAGCTGCCCGCAGCCTCTGCAGCGCTGGTTCGATCCCCGGCCACCGAAGGAGGGTCCCACATGGCGCGCAGACCTCTCCTGCTGCCCGCTGCTCCCCTCAGCAGTGTACTTCGTCACTCTGCCTGTTCTGTTCCCTGCTCTGGCTCTGGTGAATTCTCTCACCCTCCCACGCTTCTGACTGTACCCAGTGCTTGTATAAATAAATAAATAAATCTTTAAAAAAAAAAAATAAAGAGTAGGTGTCTAAAATCAGACACATAGACAAATGAAACAGAATTGAGAGCCCAGAAATAAACTTTTGCCTATATGATCAACTGAAATTTAACAAGAGAGCCAAGAATAATAATGGCAAAAGTTTAATTTCTTAAATTAGTTTTGCCGGGAAAACTATCAATAGATATCAGATGCAAAAGAATGAATCTGGCACCTTACCTTACACTACTCACATCCCTGACAGCTGGGTTTTCTCTTTACATAGAGCAAGTGCCTGGCTTAAGCTTTGAGTGCCTCAGTGTCCACTTCAAAGAGGCATCTAGTTCAACCAAGACTATTTTAAATAAACACATTTCCTGACACACAACCAGATAAGGAGCTGCGGAACTTCCGCATAGATCTTCCTTTGTTTTAGAGATCTTGGTTGAGTTCATTAACTGGCCATTTGAGTCACTTTCTTTTTCACTTTTGATTCTTTCAATTTCTTCTCTTATGTTTTCAATTAAGCAATAAAAAGAGATCATGAAAGTAGTGGCTCAGGGAGTGACTTGGTGGAAATGACTCAGATTTGTGAACTCTGCTGGGATGCGGGATCCCTGATGTCAGCGCCTGAGGCACATCTGCAGTTAAAATGGTCCCCAAGGCCTGGAACCTCCAGGAGGGCAGTGGGCATAATGGGGAGCATCTCTTTGTACAAACTCTGGGGTACCCACTCTCAGCACCATGGTTCAGTCTGGGCTCCTTATCACCTTGAAATATGCAGAGACCACAGAGGCACCTCCCTGTGGCAGGTGCCTGCGTCTCCCTGTCCCCTTCACATCAGCATGTCCCAGGCCACCTCCACTTCCTGCCTCTGTGAGCCGGCAGACTCAGCATCAGCAGAGAACAGGAGTGTTTAGAGCTGTCATTCGCTGTAGGCGGATAGTATAGTCAATGCGACAATCCCTTGATCCAGGGAGGACTCTAGACTCCTTTGGCGGTTTCCTCGGGTATTATTTAGGAGACACACAAGACACGGGACTGTTTGAATCACCTTATCTGTTTTGAGATAATGCCGCATTGTGGTTGAGGGTCACCCCCATGGGCTCTGCACTGGGTGCTGGTCTGTACACCCCATATGCTGTGTGGACCAAAGGGCCAGTTGTTGGGGCTCCAGCTGAGCTGGGTGTCAGATCTCTGATTATAGCAGGTGTTGCTGCCTTGTGAGCTGGGCATGGCTGACTGAGAGGTCACCTCCGATTCCTGCAGGTGAACCGAACCCAATATCCCCCCATTCACGGACCCCTCAAGGACCCACTCTTGGTGACCACTCCTGTCTTACTCTTTAGAGCAGCCCAGCTGTCAGGGCATGGAGTTAGTGATGGTGAGTGATCACTAGTTGCACTACTCCGGGTCAGCTTGCTGACAGCCACAAGGGCTTGTTCCCTCTTCCCTCTTCCATCTGAGGACATCTGGTTCATGGCCTGCCGGGGGTGGGAGCCCAGGCTGCTGAGGTGTGGGTTGCCTGAGTGTGGGGGCGGGGAGGATGGCTCCTGTGCTGTGGCCACAGCGATGCTTCCTGCAACAGCCCTATTTTAAAATGGCTTCACTTAGGTGTGTTTTTTAGCGTTGGTCCACCTGACAGGATGTGTGGAGTGTGGTCACAGCCCCTTCTGGGATGAGCTAGACCTGGGCCCTTTGCCTTCCAGAGAGGGCCCCCGAGGAGTCCACGGATTTTCCTGAGTCCTGAGAATCCTCAGTATTCCCGGGGGAGCTGCTGAGACTGGCTCTGCTGGAGCCGGTGAACCAAGAAACTGGCCCCTACCTGAGCACAAAATGCTGTGAGTGGCATTGTTGGGGTGCTGTTCTCACCTTTAAGGATTTAGGTGGATTTGTGTTTTTTCCCTCCCTGGGACTTTGCTGCAGCTTCCAAGCCAAGACCCAGGCAGGGGAGCTGCGCTGCCAGGAGGTTGCACCAGACACATCCTGGATGGGGAGGGACTCTCTGCTGAGACGTCCTGGGGCTCAGGCCATGGGTGTCATCCCGTGGAGTCCTGACTGGGGTTGGCAGAAGGACGGTGTGTGGGGACCGAGGCAGCTACTAACCAGGTCTTTGCACAGTCTGGAGGCTGAACTCCAGAGATGACTTCAATTTAAAACAGCTCAGGTGACAGGTGATGTTTGGTTGGAGGAGACTTTGAAGGGGAAGGAGATCTGCAAGGCCCCAAGGGGAGGACCACCCTTATGGAAATGAGGAGCTCTTGGGAAGACTGGGGGTGGGGGAGAATTGTACAGCTTTTAAAGAGTTTTGTGACCTAGGAATTTTGGTAATTCAGCGCTGTACCAGGTGCAAGAGTGCACGTGTGTGTGTGCATGCGTGTGTATGTGTGTGTCTGGGAGTGGAAGCAGTGGGAAGCAGTCACTGGTTTTTCCTGTGGGGTGGGGTCAGGGATGCTACTAGCTGGTCCCTCAGTAACTAATTGTGCAGGGGAAGAATTAACAGAGGCAGGTGGTGCTACTCCAGTCAGAGCCCAGGGGCTCTCGGGGGTGCAGGGGGTGTGCTCCGATGGCACAGGTGGGATGGCACGGGTGGTTGGACACTGTCCTGTGGGAGCAGGACCAGCCCTGCACCCCAACCAGCGCTGAGCTCCTTCTGCGCTGCAGCTGCCCCCGAGGGAGGATGAAGAGCGTGAGCAAAGAGGGACCTGCCCTGTCAGACCAGCCTTCCCAGGGGCTGGGCGGCCTGTTGTGAAGTTCGGGAGGGGCCTCCGGAATACAGGGCGTGGGAACTCCCAGGGGCGCAGCCCCTCACACCCAGGCTGTGTGAGCCCTTCCCACTGGCCTGCTCTGCCTTTGACTGACCCATCAATACCTGGGGTGTCACTTCATGCCCCCCCCCTTTCCCCTAACAGAGGCCTTCTCCTCCTGGTCCCTCCATCTGTCCTTGTCTTTCTCTTGGAGCTCAGCGCCTCCCCGGCTCCCTCTCCTCACTGCCCACATCTCAGTGCCCGCTCTGAATTCTCACCCCCACCACACTCCTCATGGTCGCCCCTGTGCACCCGGCCTCTGCCCGGCTGCTCCAGGCTGAACGCAGCTTCCTGCTGTGCACATGCCCCCTGGTCCCTGTGGCAGGGTGGGGGAGGCTGGCTCTGGCAGTGCCTGAGTTGGGCCCCAGGGGACCTTGGTCAATGGAAGGAAAAGTTCTTCTAACAAGGAGCTGGTGTAGTGCATGTGTGTTAACTGGCAGTGATGTAAGGACACCGTAAATGGTAGTAATTTGATTAGGTTCCTATATTACTTCAAAAGAGATAAAAAACAGTCGCTTTTTTATAGCTTTTCAAAAAAATTTATTTGTTTATTTTTGTGTTGAAATAAACTGGGGTGTAGGCCAGAGCTGGGGGGGGGGGGTGGCGCTGTTGAGAGAATTTACCAGAGATAGAGTGGGGAGCAGGTCTGGTGGGTCTAGTCGCCTGCTAAGGGACCAGCAGGCGAGACAGGAGAGGTCTGCTGTGCCATTTTTGTGTTAGCTCTTTGGCTGGGCATCACGTTCATGCTGTGACAGTGATGGCTCTGAGACTTCACCACTCACCATCAGGAGGCCCAGTTGTGTTTTTGGTTTTTTTTTTAAAATACTCTTGGTAGCAAATATCAAAGAAAAACAAAAATGAGAAAATGTAAGAAAGCAGACTGTCTCATGGAATTGTGGGATTAGTCTCTCCGAAGGATCAGATCAATTTTTCTCAATATATGACAAAATTAGTAGTAGAGTTTTTCTAATGTGCCGATAGTATGTGCAACTGTCACAGGGCCACTTGGGCCTAGACCTTGCTTGCCTAAACTGCCTGTTATGGGGTTCTCTAACTCATGGGAATTTCACAGAATCAAGCAGACTATGGTGATGGTGCTGGGTGAATTGGTGGTTGAAAATCTATGGGGACTACAACTGAGAAAAGAAAGCAAACATTGTAAGGAAAAAAACAGATTAAAAAAATACCCTTGGTAACAAATAATAAGGCAGATATTGGAATTAACATAAAAAAGGGGAAACCATGAGGAAGCAGACTGTCTCATGGAATTGTGGGATTAGTCTCCTGGAAGATAAGAAAAATTTTTCTCAGTATGTGAGGACATTCTTAGTAGAGTTTTTCTAATATGTGTCAATAGTTTGTGCAACTGTCACAGGGCCACATGGTCCTAGACCCTGCTTGCCTAAACTGCCTGTTATGGAGCCCCCAAACTAGTAGTAATTTCACAAATCCAAGCAGAACTTCCATCTTGCAGATGCTTCGTGTTTCCAGGCAATGGCTCCAGAACCAGCTGAAAGAAGATGCTCCCCCAGACACGGATGGCAGAGAACCAGGAGTGACTGAGGACTCACTAGCTGGCTAAACGACACCCCTTGGTGGAGACTAAGGTGCTCATGAACCACGTGACGTATGAAGAAGCTTGTCACCTGTCTGCACATGCCCTCCCAAGCACAGCCTGAAATTCTAGGGTCTGCTCCCTGCTGCCCACCCTGGTGGTCAATCCCACAAAACCAGGCCCCCTGTCATCCCTGGTTGAGAGGACACCCAGGGCAGTTGCTGCCTCTCCCCATTGTATATCCACACCAAGCACCTTGAGCTTGAAGCCTATTATTGTCTTATTCAAAACTTGTGGGGCATTAATTGGTGGCAGCCAGAAAAGACCCACCAGAATCTGTAACAGAATGGAGGGTCATTGAGCATGGGTGGTCCCTGGAATGTTTGTGACTACTACTTAGAGACCAGCAGTGAAGCAGGAGGGACCAGCAGTGAAGCAGGAGGGACAAGGGCACATGCTGACGCTTGGGTAGTGAGTGACACAGGTGCCTCAGGGGCTCGGGAGAGTGGGGCCTGGCCCGGATCAGGACGTGTCGCCATAGGAGAAGACATCTAAACTAGGACCTTGCTCCATCCCCTGTGGCTCTGCCTCACTGTGTCCTGGGTCCGGGACCCACCTAGACTCCAGTCACAGCACAGAAAACAGAACATACAGAAAATACAAGCTCAACATGTACAAGTAAAAAATCTAGATTTTGGACCCATGAAAACCATTCAACACTCCCCACCCCAAAGGTACTCAATTTCATTGTCTAAGCCAGAGTGGCCAGTGCCATGGCCCTATCCCTTCTGCCCAGGGAGGATCTACACCACACAGGCTCTGGGGGACATCTTGCCAGGTGCTCAAGCCCAGTTCCAGCAGGTCATTCTTGAAATGCTGTCACCCACCTGGGCAGCAGCCTGTGAAAGTCTGGGGACAGCAGAGTGGCATACCTGGGCATGGACATCACTGCCCAGTGAGGGGTCTTCAGAGTTGATAACTTCACAGCGAGAACACATCTCAGATGCCACTTGCTTAAAGAAGAAGAAACTGAGACTCAAGAGTGACCAGGAGAGCCAGGACTCAGGTGTGCAGAAGTCACCTGCCCAGCTGGTCAGGAGCCCCTCAGTGTCCTCCACTGTCCCCCTTCTCCAAGAAATCCATAATTAGGTAAGGCTGGTTGTCCTTCAGGGCCTGGTAGAGGAGATCTTTGCAGGCCTGGTCACAGGACCTGAGGAAGCTGAACAGCTTCCGCATCTGGCCCTGTGGGGTGGCCTTAGCCCTGATGGTCTCATACTGCTCATCACTCAGCACCTGCCCATGCAGCCTGTCCAGGATGGGGTCCACTGATGTCACTCGAGTCACCAGCTGTTCTCGATACCGGTCCAGGAAGTATGCTGACCTTGGTGTGCCTGGGGGTGAAGATGAGGCCACAGTGAATCAAGAGCAGTTCCCACTACAGCCTGCCCTGGCCCCACCTCCAGCATCTCCATCACTGCATCTGTACCCACCCCTCTCCCGTGATGCATCCGGCCACCTTGAAGGTAGCTTTGCCCTCCCTCATGTCAGCATCCAGCCTAGCACTCTCCTTGGGCTGGGTGCCATGTCCCCCACTTCATGGGCAGAGTAGGAATGTGAGGGACCTGCCCTGGCACATACCACTCTCCAGGGCCTACCCCTGTGGGCTTGCAGGGTCTCTTCCCTCCCTCCAAGGCCACATGGCGAGCCCAGCTCTGCCCCTGGCCCCCATGTCTCTCAGCTGCCACTGACCTGGCGGTGCTGGAGGATCCAATGGGGGTGCAGGTCTGAGGTCTCCTGAGGTCACAGAGAGAAGCATTTGAACAGTGCGGGGTATTAGTCCACATGATCCCCAGTCGCTTCCCCCTTCTGAGATCCTGTGATTCTGAGAATAAACTAGAGAAAAATTGTGATGGAATCTGGAGTAAGGCTGGAAGGGATCTCAGAGATTATCTAGGTTAATCTTTTCCTTAGGCACATGGGCAGTGGAGGCCCAAATGTCATGAGAGAGAGAGGGAGAGGAAGAAGGAGAGAGAGGGGGAGACAAATTGAATAACAATAATTTCTCCCACACTAGCCTAGACATGGCTTAACCCAGTCTCAGCCTAAATAGATCCCGGTGGAGAACTCACCATGTCCCTTACTTAATCTACCTGAGCTCTGGTATCTGAGCAGAAATTTACCCACTTGTCCTGGATGGACCTCTAGAATCTCCTAGATCAGACCCACTTTGTTCTGGATTTGCATGTCAAAATGAAGAGCTACGATCAGGAAAAACTAGCACTTGGAAGTATTTTTATATTTCAGTAGGAAAAACTATTTAGCCAGCAATAAATTAACCGGCGTAAATATGACCTGCATTGGGAGGGGGAGGGGACCCACATTCCTCATGTGGAGGAGACCTGGGAGCTGACAGACCACGCTCAAGGGTCATCTGATTGCGAGGGGTGGCCCAGGAGAGGGGAGCTCAGTTGTGGTGCTGGAGCACGGGGTTCATCTGCATGAAGGGGGGAGGGTGTCCACATCCTCCACGATGACAGGTGATCTCAGAGTCTCCCTGACCCAGCCACAGACGGAGCATCTGCCAAGGAAGGTGACTGAATCTCGAAGAGTTTGACAACCCCAATATCAGGGTAAAGATGGACAGAGCCAGGGATATCAGCTTCCTAAGAGGAGATGCAAGGAAGCTGGGGTCACGGCCTTCATGCATCTAAGGGCTTTCCCATGGGAAGGGGACAGATTCTTCTGTCAGCTCCAGGGGACAGAACTAAGACTGAGAGGAGGAAGAAACTGTCTTACTGTGAGGGAGAATACTGGGGTGCTACTATTTTTCAAGGACCCCCAGATGAGTCATGTGCAAAGATCACTGTACTGAAGCTTTCCAACAGCCCTCAAGTTAGACAATCTGATCCTCATTTTACACAGGAGGAAACTGAGGCTCCAAGGGGTGAAATAAATTTCCCAGGATCAGCCAGCAAGTAAGAGCCTGAGCAAGACTCAAAGGCAGGCCTGCCCGGGGCTGGCTGGTTCACAGCTGTGGAGTCTCCCACGCCAGAGCAGAAACGAGTCACCCTCCTTCCTCCTCGCTGTGCTTGTGGGTGGCAGCGCGGGAGGCAGGTTCCCCGCATTCCCACAGGTTGTCTCTACCAGGTCTATTTAGGGGTTTTGGGTCTTGGTGTTATTGGTGCTGGACCAAGAGATTGTGAAGTTTCTCTATTCGATTTCCTGTTTCCGCCTGAAAATAGCTGAGTGATTCAGGTTAGAGCATTTGATGTTGTCAAAGTTGACTTAATCCATGCAACCCTGTATGTTGCTAATTCTCATTCTTTCATCTTATGTCCAAGCTATCACAGGAAACTGCCAAAGATCTTGAGGATGTCAATGTCTATTAGTTCAAGGGCAGTGTAGGGACACCATGGTGTGTGGGATTGTCCCGGGCTTAGAGTTTAATTAACTGTAATTCACATTCTGGCCATGCCTGTGCTACAGGCATGGAAAAACCATGTCAATTATTTAGGCTCTTTCTTCTCCTTAGCAAACCATGGAAATCCTCTCTCTCTCTCTTTCTCTTTCTCACTCTTTCATACACACACACACACACACACACACACACACACACACACACTCTGACTTTCTCGACCTCTGACTGTTTGGACTTGTTTGTTTTACCTGGTCTCACCAAGGCCTCCCACACCACAGTCCCATCTTTCTTGTTCTTTATTTGCAGCTGGATCCCTGACTCCGACTGTCCAACGGAGATCTCACTGAAGAGCTGGGACTTCCCGGGGCTCCGGTAGCAGAGCTCCAGTTCCTGAGCAGAGAAAGAGCAGGCGTGTGTAAAGTCACTGTTCATCATTCAAGGGGTGTCTTTCTGAAACCTTCTTGATCCGGCCCTGTCCCCGAGGGACACTCAAATGATCTGTCTCGAAATAAATTGCCAGCTTCAGACACTGCGCTTTTCCTAATTTTCCACAAGTCCTGACGCTGAAGGATGATTCATAGTTGGGTAATCCATAGATGGATCAGGACTCATCCTAAACTGTAGTGACCACATCTCCTAGACCAGATTCTGTCTGAAGCAGTTACAGCTCCATCTGTGCTGTGCCCGCCTGCTACAGTGTGTTGAGGTTCCCAATCACTGAGTTGCCTCTGCCCATGAGAACTCCCAATCCAGAGCAAATCTCCATTCCTTAGACCTCCCTCAACTTACCCAAACAAGGTCCAACTATATTTAGTTTCTTTCTGACACCCTTGGCCTTGGAGCACCACGGCTCCCCATGCTGTTCTCTCGCAGCAACAAGTGCTAAACTGAGTTCAGATCCAGGAAGTTTCCTGTGGTTATGGTTGAGGGCAGGGCCCCCTATAGCCCTGCACCTCCCAGTAACTCCAAGTCAGACCCCATTGGTGTCTCCGTCCTGCCAGTGACTCTCCCTCCCACGACTTTCTTCTCCCTCAATAGCTCACAAATTCTCCTCCAAACTCCACTCACCATCAGCCTCACCCCAGTGCACCCTGTCCCTGGGGAGCTCTGAGACCTGCCTCACAGGTGTTTCCAAGCATGACCTCTGATCTTAATGAGGGGGGAGATGGGCTGCTCACCTGGGGCATTATCTCCATCTCCTCTGAACCAGACACGGTGAAGCGGGAGCCCACATAGAGGGGGGTCAGAGGGGGCGGCTTGTGTATTTGCACAAACTGGAACTGCTTTTCTTTATCATCTAAGGCCTAAGGGGCAAAGAGAACAGTGGTCAAGGGAGGAGGGGCTTCTGGCTCAGAGATCCTGCCCTTTGTTCTGAACATGGTCTGAGTAAAGTGAGGAGGGGCTCCTGGGTGTTTGTGTGGGTGGAAGGGTCTGTACCACCCCTGCCTCCCACACCCCATGCCCTGCCACACAGGAGCCCACACTCGTCCTCTACTGTGTTCAGGTTGGGAATCAGGTCACTGTAGCGAAAGGTGAGGGTGGGGGAAGGTGGCAGTCTGGGCAGGGAGCCCTCCCATTTTTTGACCTCTGGAAGGGCTGTCCAGAGTGCAGGGATGGAGCAACAAACCAATCTGGGGAGATCTTAGGGAGTCAAGATACCACTGCATGGCTGAGCAGGATGATTCATCTATTTTGAGGTTACTACTTCATGGAGACCCATTCTTGTTCCCAGTGGACCCATCCTGGGGGCTCTCTGGGTGCACTGGTGTCTGCACATGACCTGGACTTTCTGGTCTGAGTATCACCTTCTGAATGGAGCAGTCATTTGGGATCAGGTAGAGATGGAAGTTGACTTCACCAGGACGGAGGTGATGGTAGAGCATCACGGTGGAGATAATGGGAATGAAATTCCTTGTAACTGGGAATATTCTCAGTAGAACTCCCATGGGGGAGAAGCTGGGGTTCTCCAGGACTATGTAAGATGCCTCCACCCTTGCTGGCTCCTCCAGCAGCATCTCCTCCTCTTTGAAGTGGGCCACATGGAACTGGGATGTGTCCACATGGTTGCCTGTCAAGGAAAGGATTTGAGAGGTGAGGATGTGGTGCCCTCACTTGGCAGGCTTGGCAGATGCAGGTGTCCCAGGATGCAGGCCTTCCTGTGTGACTCCTCAGGGGAGGCAGGTTGTCTGGAATTGGGATCTTTGGGTGCTGAGGGCCACACCATCTCTTGGGTAGAGCACCACAAGTAAACCCTGGAGTGACACCCACACCCAAGACCAAACCGTAGTCCTGGAGCTGAGAAGGATCTTGGTCCCTTGGTGACAGGTACTGGGGAGCATTTGTAATTATGAGGATTTGGAATGATGCTGGTAGGTTTGTCTCCAGACAGGTGGATCAAGGAAGACATAAGGACTTTGGGGAAATGGAATGATCCAGGGCTGTGTACATTTATCAAGTGTTTGATAATCATTCAAACCCACAGTTCAAACTCATGTTTTGGGGAACGAACCCCTCCTCTGTCCTCCACCGTTGTGTGGTTCCTGGCAGGAAGGAGGTTGCATCTCTCGCTGAGAAGCTGACCTCCCTGGCAGAATGACACAGGTGCGACACCTTGATAAGTGGATGCTCTTAACTAGGACCTTGGTGGCAGGGTGGGGGCGGATATGGAAGCACAGAGGAAAAGACAGAGATAGTTTTGGTGCAGCAGTGGAGTCAGGAGTCTGTGCCCCACCATGGTAGGATAGTCTGGCTGTAGCTGTTTCTGCAGGAGTGGGCTGTCTGTATTTTTCATGGTGTGACCTTGCCCATTGTTTCTTGCCATCAAGGCCCCCAGCCTTTCACTACAAGCTTGTTGCCTAATCTTTTGTTAAGACTGCAAGCTAGCCCCTATCACCCTATATATTCTTTTTTGCCTAAATCAACCAGAATTGATTTGATTGCAAGACCTCTGACCAGGTGAGGACGTGATGCCACAGACAGAGGTGCCATTTGCTATCACTGGCATTTTCATTTCCCTCTTCCTTTGAAATCCTTACTTGTAAAACATTATTATTGTTGCTTTATCCAGTCAATGTTTTGCTATATATATATATATATATATATACACCCATGTATTTTGCAGTATCTTTGCTAATGATGCTGCCTTGCGGCTCTTCCCTTCCCTGTGGGCTCTTCTCCTTTGTCTGAGAACATTCTTTACAATTTTTTTTTTTTTAGAATTCATTTGCGGAATATGTCTTGTTTTAGAATGTCTATTTTTCCTTAAATAGACATTTTATTTTTTTAAATTTGTTTTCAAGATTTTATTTATTTTTGTACAAGAGCTGGGGTACAGGCCAGAGGTGCTGGAGGGTGAAAGGAGTCACCAGAGACAGAGCAGGAAGCAGAACAGGCAGACAGAACAAAAACACTGCCAAGGGGAGCAGCCGGCAAGACAGAAGAGGTCTGCCACACCATGTGGGTATCTCCCTGGCCAGCTGGGAATCAAACTTGCACTGCAGAGGCTTCATAGCTATGAAGCGATGAAGCTATGTGCTTCATAGCGCTGTGCTCAACCTGCTGCGCCACTGGGGAGGCCCTGCCTTTAATTCTTGATGACAATTATTTTCTTAGCACATTGATGATATTTCATTGTCTTCTGCCTTCCATTGTTGCTATTTAAAAATCAGCTGTCAGTTCCTCGAAGTACCTGCTGGATACTGTCCGGCTGCTATGAAGGCTTCCTTAGATTTGGTATTCTTCAGTTGCAATGAAATGGGTGTATTAGTGATCTCTCTCTCTCACTTTTGTTTTTCTATTTTCTTACTCTAATTAGTCATGTCTTTTGGCAATTCTGGAAATTTCCTTGAATATTACATCTTTTCCATTTTTCTTTATATCTTTCTGGAATTCCCATTCAATGTTAGGTAGTTTCTTTCAAAACTTCATTTATCAATTCTCCATGGTATATTGCTCCTTTCTCATATTTTAAAGACCATTTCTTTGAGCTTTAAAATGTTTATTATGTGTCATGTTTCTAGGAATTTCAATGCGCAAAATCTTTATGGGACTTATTCTAGTCCCTATCGTTTTTCCAGGTTTCCACTTGTGGAGTCTTGTTTACTGAGCAAGAGATATTTAACTCTGAGCATATAATTCTTGGAATTTTATCTGTGGGAAGTCTTTGTAGGTGAGAGAGCTTGGGATAACTGTGCTACCCTTTGTGAGTACTTCTACTGGGAAGCCCCTCTTTCACGGATCTGGATGGCAAATGTATTCTGGTCGCACGGTTTTTCTCCCAGCCTGGGGGAGTAGTAATGACCTTCTATTGGTTGCTAGTCCAGAGGAACCCTACTATTCCTTGTTAGCTCACATTGCCTTACTTTGCAAATAGTGTTGTCTTTGAAAAGTCTTTGAAAAATCTCAACTGAGTGTATCATTTATTCCTCTGTGGTAGCCTGATTGCCACAATGCATGTAAAGATGATATTAGGTGTTATTCTTATTGTGGAGACTAGCTCTATTTAGGAAAACTTTCAAGTAACTATGGTGCTGGAAGAAAGAAGTGCTTCAAAAAAGATAAGCCATAGCAGAGTGGAATGAGGGAAAAGCTGTCTCCACTTCCATGACCCTCTCTCAGTCTCTCCATGGAAGTCACCAGATCCTTCCCCAGGACATCCTCATCAGAAGCCCCTTGATGGCCCATTATTACCCCCATCACCTCCCCCCACCCTCTCTCTGCTTACCTTGGAGGGACACAAAGTGAGGCAGGTACACAGCTGCCACAGCTCCTGGCTCGGCCTTGATGTCAAGCAGAGGGCCTGCCACCATCCAATTGTCCTGGGGGACAATCATGCCCAGGAATGGGTCCCAGGAACAGAATTCAATCTCGATGGTCACTGCCCTTCTCACCACAAAGTGGAGACCTGTGTTGGGCCAGTGGTAGGAGCCAGCCGTGGGGATGCGAACTCTGTGAAGAGTGAGGAGAGGTAAATACTGAATCACTCTACACAAATTCATGAGCCCCTGATGGATGCCAGATCCCTTGCAGGTCACAACAGCTGCAGCCGAGAGCCTGGAGGTTGGAATCAGATGTGTATGAGCGTGAGCCCGTACTCCTGTGCACTAGGATTATGAATCCCTGAGCAAGTCATCAAACCTCTCTATCCTCAGTTTTCTCATCTGTAAACAAGGAAAACAGTGACATCTCTCAGCACCTACTCAGAGTTGTGTGTAATGAATGCCAGATGCACGGGGACATTGTGGTCATTGCCTGGAGTGGTTAGCTGTTTCTCCAATGGTGATGAAATAATAATGTGCTTTGTTATTAAGGGGCTTATTTTCCAATAATAACAATCAATATGCTAATATCAATGATAAACTCTTGAGATTGAAAACAATTTTTTGAACTTCTACAAGTGGTAAATGGTGGGGTCCCAGGGTCTCAATTTCTGTAGGGTAGTTGGGAATGGCATTAGCTCCCAGCTGAGAAAAATCGGTGCCACTGACTTGACATTTGTCAAGGACAATGTGTTATGTGAGAGACCATGATCATGACTGTAGACATTTATTTCTTATGACTGGAACCCCTCGGGGACAGGACTGCATTTTCGCCTCAGGGTTCGCTGTTACTAATGTGGTAGTGAGCACATAGTGGATAGTGATAAAATAGGAGCACATAAAGAAAATATATTAAATGAGTTTAATAGTTAGAACAAACCAAATGGAATGTGTTTGTTTTGGAGTCTTTTGAGCAAACAACCTGCAGGACAAACTATAGACAACTGAATACATTAGAATATACCCTGGCTATCAGTACACGATAGATTTATGTAAACTTTGTTGGGTGTGATATTTGTATTGCATCACAAAATATTTAAGAATGAAAACCATCTGCTATCTTAGATTTAAAATACTCTACACCACAAAAAAATGGGGCAAGTCAACAGTTGAAACAAATTTGACAAATCAGCTGTGGAAGCTGGATTATGGGTCAGTGTCAGAGTCTGGTCTATATTTTGTTTTGTTTGGATAGTTTTTTATAACACACCTCTTTTTGTATAATAAAAGGAATTACCCAGTATCTCAACCCATTGCTTGTCTGGTGGCTTGTTAGTGGAGAACACTCCTGGGACAGTGTGGGGACCAGTGTGGGGTGCTGGGGGTCACAGAGCCAGACAGAGCCAGGCAGAGCACCCTCACTCCCTCACTCACCGGTACAGGCTCCTTTCACAGTCAATCACCTTGATAGCAACATGCCCTGTGGGGCCCCAGAACTCATCTTTGGTCATCAGAGGCTCCATGTGCAGATCCCCCAGAGGGGCAGGGGAAGACAGACAGGTGGGTTCCACTCGTGCTACTTGACTGGGGCTTCCCTCTGGAACAGGCATGGCAGTGGTCAGTGCAAGGATCTCTTGTCTGCTCTTCTGTAGCCCAAGCTTGGCTGTGGAGGGACCCCAAACAAATCTGGTTTGCTGGACCATGGCAGGGAGTGTGCTGCAGACGCCACTCCTGCTCCTGAAGCGCCTGCTGAAGCGGCCCAACCCCACTGCCCTCTGACCTAGCCCTGCCCACTCTCTCCCTTCCCCTGGGCCTTAAGTGCTGCTCTCCTCAATGAGCTCCGGGCTGGCAGCTTATGAGATGAATATGACTCTAAAAGTGAAATATCAGGCACAGTGAAGTGATCCCAAGACCTCAGAAGCCCCGAGTGGGCCTTGGGAGGTGGGTCCTGGTTCAGAGTCTGAGACACGACAGATGTTTAGGAGAGGAGCTTCTACCAAAGCTGGGGTTGATGAAAGCAGAAACCCACCTGGTGGGAGCAGTGGAAGAGCTTGCAAAGGGCAGGGCTCTCGTAGGAGAGTGTCCTGTCCCACCCCACACCAGAGAAGGGGCATGGATTCCACTGCTGCCCTCACCACCCAGCCAGGCCCCTTCCAGCTACCTGATTCTGGTCCTTGCCGCTCGAGGGCGGGTGTGTTATCACTCATCTCTCCTCCTCTGGGCTTCTCCTCAGGGGTCGTCACACTTGGCTTCCTGGACACAGAGTCATTCCCTCTCTCTGGGGTCTGGGGGGAAGCTGGACTGTCTCCATCACACCCCACTTCAAGTCACTCATCCACATTTGAATTCTTGAACCCCTCCTGTCTCCTGTACTCCACATCTCTATGAAATCTCCCCCCATCAGTGCACCTACCTCACCAAAACTCGGGGTCATCTGATTCCGTCTCACACAATCTTCTTTCTGTCCCCTTCTCTCACCTGCTTGTCCTCCATCTTAGTCCTGAGCCTGGCCTCTTTGCTGGAACCACTACAGAGTTATCTGCTCTTATCCCTCAGTCCTCTGTCTACACAGTAGCTGATCCTAAGTATGAACCTGGCCCAACACATTACTGCTGAAGCACTGAAATATCTCTCTGTTGTTTTGGGGTAAAAATGGAAGTTTTTAATAAGAACCAAAAGACCTTACTGTGCTCCTGCTTCCCTCACCTGTGCCGTCTTCCTGCTCACCCACCTCTGGGAGCGATTGTCAACTTGCTAAAATTCACCTCGAGTGCTGGTTAAAACAGAGATTCCCAGCCTCCCTGGTGGTGCAAGGGATTGAGCACAGTACTGAGAAGCTGTCTGCAGCCTCTGCAGCGTGAGTTCGATCCCTGGCCGGCCAGGGAGCAACCCACATGGCGCAGCAGACCTCTCCTGACTCGCCTGCTGCTCCCCTCAGCAGTGTATTTCAGTCAGTCTGCCTGTTCTCTCCCCTGCTCTGTCTCTGGTGAATCCTCTCACCCTCCCATGCTTCTGGCCTATACCCCAGCTCTTGTATCATGGATGAATAAATCTTAAAAAAAACCCAAAACAGAGATTCTTCGGCTCCCCAAAGATTCAGGTCCAGCAGGTCTGCCGTGGGTCCCAGAATTTGTAATTCTAAAGAGCTCTCAGGGTGCTAGTTCTGACACCTGCAGGTCCAGGGATCATGCGGGGTAGCTGCTCAAACACCTGGCCACCTTCTCCCTCACAGGACTGAGCTCAGAGCCTCTGCCTCTGCCTGGATATCCCCGTCTCGGCTCAGTAAACCTTCCCGGCTCTCGTTGCTCACTCAGCTCCTTGGCACAGGGTCAGAGAGGCCCATCAAAGACTCACAGGCCCCGAATGCAACCGGGGGGCTTGTGCTGTCTCCCTGCTGGACTGGGCTCCTGGTGTCTGGCCCTTGCTGTCCCCTGTGAGCCTCACACTCTGTGGGCCTCAGGGACTGTTTGCTCCATACTTTGTCCTAAGTGAAATGAAGAAACTAAGAATGTTTAGTTTGCCTGAGGAGGAAGATGGGCCTCCTGCCCTTGCCAAAGGTTTTTTTTTTATACTTTTAAAAAGTGATTGTTATTTTTAATGAAGTACCATAGTTTTACATCCTGGTTAGTAGTTTGACACGATAGGATTCCCCCTCGTGTGTAGTCACTGTAGCTCTCCCACCACCAAAGAGTCCAGACTCCTCCACACAGTCCATTGTGCTCCCCCTCCAGCTCCCCTCCACTTCCCACCTTCCTGCTCCCCCTCCCTGTGGAGGACCCCAAGGTTTTCCTTGTCTTGTTTCCCCCTATCAGTCATTGCTTTCCATATTCAAAGTCTGCCCCCCTCATTCATGTTTCTACAGCTCCTTACTCACTAGAAGTGTTTGAGAGAGGAGTGAGAGACTTTATTACCCTAAACACACAGGCAAACAAACACATCAACAGCCTCTCTCTGCATGCTGTGCTTTCTTCCTGGCTCTGTCTCCCCCACTGCAAATTTCTCCTCTATGTCCTAGTTCTGCACCAGCCTCAAGAACTCAGCCCAAGCCCTGGGTTGGCAGGAGTGAGTGTGGTGCCCCCACCCCTTACCTCCTGTCATAGATGTGCAGCTGTGGCTTCTCTTCCTCCAGGGCCCTCAGCATCCCTGTCACCTCCTCACTCAGCCCGGCCTGGTCCAGCCTGCAAGCACAGAGGAAACTGGTTCTGCTGGGACATCATCAGGGCCCTCAGGCCCAGCATCCTGGAATGTGCCACCTCCCACAGGACCTGCCTCAGGTCAGGGTCCCAGGAACTGGGCTCTGAGATGGAGAGTGGAGTGAGGAGGATTATGGGGTGTTCTTGGTTCAGCACCAGGGCAGGCAAGGGAGGAAGCAGGATTGAGCAGATGGAGAGCTGGGCTGAGAGGCGTCTCAGTGGAGACCTTAGTTGACTTTCCAGGAGGATCAGGCAGAATGACTCTTCAGAGCTGTGCCAATATGGGAGGAAGAAGTATTTCTACCCCAACACCTGTCAGCCTTTGGATGTAGGTCAACCCCAGGAAGGGGAGGAGGCCTTGGATGAGAGGCCCCAGTGAGGGAGGCCGTCCCAGGAACCTGCTGTCAGCAGCATTGCAGAGTCCAGTGTCCAGTTTCTGAGGGAGCCAGGGCAGCACTTCACAATGTCCTCCACACACAGCCGTTTCCCTGAGGCCTAATGTGAGCACGTGGAAAGCCCCTGGCAGCTTCTGAGAGTGTGATGTGCCCGGCCAGGACCTGCAGGGACAAGTGCAGACACACTCAGCCAGGGCACTTGTTTCAGGATGCGGAGGATGAGAAGAGTCTGAGAGATGGGGTGGGGAAGGTGTCCCCCCACTACTCTCTTCCCTGAGCTGCTCCCCCCTGACTGGAAGGGCAGAAGGTTTCAGTTTGATGCCACCCCTCAGAGAACCTCTGTGCTCCCCTCAATCTGATTCCATCTAACCCCATGTTACACACTCCTGATTCGCCACATTTCCCTTCACAGCCTCCATGCAGCTTAGAAACACACACTGTGTGTTCACACCCGGGCAACACCTGTCCTGTTCCCACTGGGGTGAAGGTCAGGGGCGGGGCCACACCTGCTCACTCTGTGTCCTCAGTGTCTGTCCATGCTTGCACATGGGAGCTCAGAAGGACGGGGGGAGGGAGGGAGGGACAGAAAGGCATGTCCAAGGCTTTTGCTTCAGGAAGCTGAGGGCTGGTGAGGAGCCCAGGTGGCCACACGGATCTGTTCCTTCCCTTCCCTGTCCAAGGCCACAGCAACTGTCTCCCTCACCCCACCTCCCTGGCCTCCCCTGTCCTCTGCTCTGAGGCTCCAGGTCTTACCCCAGGAGCCTGAGCTGGCAGGAAAGCTGCCTGAGCCCCTCACAGAGCAGCCTCACCCCGGGGTCGCCCAGGTCGTTCTGCCTCAGCTCCAGCTCTGTCAGGCGGGGGCTGGTGCTGAGCGCGGAGACCAGGTCCTGGCAGCTGCTGGAGGTGAGGCCACAGCGCACCAGCCTGCAGGAGGGATGGAGAGGGCACAGTCATTACACTGAGGGCCTCTCCTTGGGGTAAATGGGAGCTGATTTGGGACTTCTGAGGTGACACTGAGGGAGGACAAAGACTTCTGGGCTGCACTAACCAGATTCTTATTCTCCTCCTGCAACCAAGGAGCCAGTCAGGGTGGCTGAGCACCAGGAATCCTGCCCACTCTCCACATCAACCGTGTAGGGTAATGTACCCCATGTTCTGCTTGCATATCTGGGGCTTATTGTTAACATCTTATTGTTAATATACTGCGTGACATTATGCATGTCACGTAGTATGTAGCCTTCTTAGATTGGCTATTTGACTCAGTATCATGCATTAAGGTTTCTCCATAGATTGATAGCTCATTTCCATTTAATACTGAATAATAATCCACTGTCTGGATGTACCACAATTTCCTTATCCATTTACATACTGAAGGACATCTTGTTTGCTTCCACGGTTTGACAATTATGAATAGAGCTGCTATAAACATCCATGTGCAGCTATTAATAATAGCTAAGATGTGCACCCCAAAAGATGACTGGATCACGAAGATATGGTATATATACACAATGGCATACTATTCAGCAATCCAAGAAGATAAACTTGTGTCACTTGCAGCAATATGCATGGAGCTGAAGTGATTATGCTCAGTGAAATAAGTCAGAAGGAAAAAGAAAATTACTGGATGGTTTCACTTAGGAGGAATCTGGAGAACTGAACAAGGAATCAGGAAAAAAAGACAAAACTAGAACCCCTTTGTGTTCTAGATTTACTTACACACATAGCCTAGCGCTCAGTTTTAGTTTTAACATTGTGAAAATATTAAAAGAATCTTGTAATTTTATTCTTTTTCTCCTGCTGAAAAAAATTAAACCAATCCTATGAAAGTTAAAAAAAAAAAAAGACAAAACTAGCAGCAAACTATAAGTGGCAGATGGTCATCAGGGGAGGAGGAGAGAGAAGGATCAAAACAGGTGGGAAGAACACAGGAGACTGTGGTGATGGTTCACGGGTGACTTGGTGATGGGAGTTTTATGGGACTATTCCTGAGAAGATAAATCAACATTGTATAAAAATGAACAGTGATCAAGAGAGAACCCTGCTACCGTCCCCCACCCACAAAGCTGGCATACTTTGACCAACAGAAAGAAAAAAAACAACAATGATAAAAAAACTACAGATCAAGAGGGACAGTGGGTGGAAAGGAAATATTGCAGGTACCGGGCCCCGTGAATGGAAACTGTGGAGAACCGAGCAGCAATCGCCACAGAGGTGAGCGAAAGGCTCAGGGTGCCATTAGAGGAAGATAAGGACTCTGCGGAGAGACCCACACATAGCCAAGGCCAGCCTGCAAGCTTGTACGGAAAAGCACGCGAGCTCGAAAAGCATACACGGATTGTGGCTGCCCAGGTCCCTGCACCCGTGACCTAGGTTCGTGGGGAGACTCGCGGGAACTGTCACTGAGGTGAGTGACCCTCACTGAGTAATCAAAAGCCAGGCGCTTGGGCATGGGAGCAGGTGCAAAAGGCCATTTCTGCAGACACTGAACTGAGCTACCGCCTGCGTCCCGGATCTGAGGGCTTCGGAACTGAGACCCGGGGCTTGAAATTAGGAGCATGGGATCCCCACGACGTGTAGCACAGGGGGCAGACGCAGCACCCCACACCGTTTAGCGATTCCATGCCACCCCCACTCAGTTCCCCGGAGACTCAGTGGGAGAAAGCACAGCTCTGGAGGGATATTAGGAAAGATCTCTGGCGCCACCTAGTGGTCACAACAAAAATCACCAACTTCCTAATAGTTGGAAGCCAGGGTTTCCAAAATCACCCTCAGCTCTGAGAGGGTCACAGGAACGGAGATAAGAAGGGAAGCAAGGCTTGGAGCAAGACCCCATTCTGGAACTGAGAGCCAAACGCAAGATCTGGGGCATGGGACGCGCCATAACTTGGGCACTGCACAGGGTGACAGCCATCATTTTGGATCTGAGACCCTGAGATTGAGAACTAGAGTGCAGAATTCAGGGCACGGGATCCACACAGCTGCAGACACAGCACCAGGTGAACACGGGGCAGACACAACACTCAGCTTGCGTAAGAGCTCCAGTGTTGAGGTGCTTCCCTCCACAGCCCTCCCTTTCTCAGAGAACCACTGGGAAAAAAGCACAGGTCAGCAAGTATGGGTCTCTGGCGCCACCTCGTGACCAGAAAAAATCACCAACTAGCTGATTCCCTGTTGGAACTGACTAAATACAGAGGGAGGGAACTGTAAGGGACAGTGTCCAGCAACACAGACACAGCTTCAACACACTGGTGGAGTTTTGGCCTACCAGTGCTGGTCTCAGTCTGGTAAGCAGTTTTCAACATCCCTGAAGGAGCACTCCAAAGAGATGCCCGCCAACACCAGTGGCACAATGTCCCAACGCATAGAACAACAGGCATATGAAAAAATGTTCAACATCCCTTATTATCAGGAAAATGCAAATTAAAACCACATTGAGATACAACTTTACACTGGTAAGAATGGCACATATCAAAAAACAAGCAACAACAAATGTTGGCGAGGATGTGGTGAAAAAGGAACTCTCCTACATTGCTGGAGGGAGTGCAATCTGGTCCAACCACTATGGAAAGCTGTCTGGAGGTTCCTCAGTCTACCAAAAATATAGCTACCATATGACCCGGCAATTCCACTGCTAGATCTACGCACAGGACACAGAAACATTGATTCAAAAGAACACCTTTATCCCTATGTTTATTGCAGCACTATTTATAATAGGTAAAACCTGGAAACAATCCAAATGCCCAAAAATAGATGACTGGATCAAGAAGATGTGGCATATATACACAATGGAATATTATTCAGCAATCAAAAAAGATAATCTCACGCCATTCGCAGCAATGGAACTGGAAAGAATTATGCTCAGTGAAATAAGCCAGAAGGAAAAAGAAAAATATTGGATGGTTTCACTTATAGCAGGAATATAGGGGAACCAAATAAGGCATCAGTGTAAAAAATAATAACAGTACAAAACACAACAAAGCAAAAATGGACAATTATAAATCAGAGACATCCTGCACAGGAGGAGGCAGGAGAGGGATCAGAGGGAGGGAGGGAGGAGCACAGGGGACTGAGGTGATGGTACACGGGTGCATTGGTGAAGGAAACTCTATGGGGACTACACCTGAGGGGGTGGGGGGAAGCAAATATTGTTTAAAAATGATAAATGATGCAAAAAATAATAATATAAAAAGATTTTTAAAAAGGTGAGATAATACAAAAAAACAGAAAGAAAAAAATAAATGATAGTTAAAAAAAGAACAATGACGTAACAATGATCCTATATACATATATTTTAAAGTCATGTACTGGTTTTTGTGTGTGGTTTTAATCTCAGGGAGTGTGACTGCAGGATTTTATGGTTAGAATATGTTTAGTTTTATAAGAACCTGATTTCATATCATCCCCCCCCTAAGTACGTCCCGTTTTGCACTCCCAGCAATGGATGAGAATTGATTTTGCTCCACAATTTCACCAGCAATTGGGATTGTCAGTGTTCTAGATTTTGGCCATTCTAATAGGAGTGTCGTGGTAGCCTTTACTCCTTATGAATGTCGGTATTTCCCTCTAGGCACTGCCTTCAGTGTATCTAGTAAGATTTGGTAGGTTGTGTTTTTATTTTCATTCATCTGAAAGTATTTTCCAATTCCCCTTGTGATTTCTTCTTTGCAACAAGTGGTTATTTAGTAGTCTACTGTTTAATTTCTGTGTATTTATGTATTTTCCAAATTTCCTTCTGTTCTTGATTTCTAATTTTGTTCCATCATGGTCAGAGAATATACTTTGTATGATTTCACTTCTTTAAAATTGCTTGAGTGTTGTTTTTGGAGACAATCTCATCTTTGCATAAGGGATTATTTGATACTTGCTTGCCTCTCCTCTTTTTCCAGGATGTTCCATCTCAGAGAATGTGACACATGCCATGAGTTCTGCTGGTCACCTAAGCTCATCCTTGATATCTCCCTCTCTTTCTCCTAAACCCAATCTGATATTGGGACAGATTGATTTTAATTTTATAGATCTCTTATTCCATCCACTTCCTTCCATCCCCATTGCCAACATCATAGTCCAAGCTACCATTATGCCTTGGAGAAATAGTTACCCTTAATCTAAGCTATCACCATCTTTAGAGGAATAACCAATTTTCTTACTAACTGGTGTATTTAGTCTTATGATTACACTCGTAATGCATTTTTGCACATGGCTGTTCTGCTTCTGCTTTGAAAATGCAGTGATATTGCCAACTGTATGCTTAAAATCTCATTCCAATAGGGGAAAAAATAGTGAAACTCACAACCATGGACCTGGTCTGGCTCCTACTGATGTCTGAGGCTTCATTGCACCCCTTAGACTTCCTTCCTGCATCCCCACTGTCCTGCTTCTAATTCGTTGACTTTCCATCCTCCCTCCGACCACAGCACCTCTGTACATGCTGTTCCCTTTGGCTGGAATTTTCCTTTCTCCAGCTTCATGTAGGTAATTTCACTGTATTCTTCAGATATCTTTCAGGTTTTACTTCCTCAAAAATTGTTCCACTGAAGACCTTGTGTGTTTTGTTAGTCTGGTTTCTTGATTGTTAGTCTCTTGCAAACTCTGTGATAAAAGAATCTTGTCTATATGGGTTTGCCATAGCAGCCCTGGCCTACAGCATAGTACATGTTTCAATTCATATTGTTGATTGTGCCATTCTCAAGACAGGGAGATTTGAGTCAGGACCTCATCATAAATGTGTGGAACTGAGAAAGTGCTATCCCCACAGTCAGAGGTGAGCTGAAAAGCACGCACAAGCCAGGCCCCACATCTGGTTGCTAATTGGAGCCCAGAGGGGGATCCAGCAATGAGGTGCCCAAGGGGTGATCCAGCCACCTCCAGGGAAGACTGTGGGACCTCAAGACCCCCCCTCTGGAATTAAGTAAATACAGAGGGAG